TTCACAAATTATATAAACATCTGCTCTTCAAATGGACTGCACTCTACACTCCAGCAGGATTATGTTGGTAAAATGTACTTTTCATTTTTAGCAATTTAACTGAATAAAAGAGGGAGCTATTATTTTTACAATTTAGTGATAAAATTCTGTCTTAGAAACAGTTTTTTTTTTTTTTTTTTTGGTGAAGTGAGTGGAAGGAACTTAATTGCCTCTGCTGTATTAAGACATTTAGAGACTTAAACATAATCCCTGGCCCAAGAGAGAGATGCACCCATGAAACACTGAAGTTATTGCTCTGTCAGTTCCTTGGTAATTAAATGTCGGCAAGGCATGAAATCTCTCTAAATCACAGCCTTTGTATTTCTAAAGAAAATAAAAGCTATTCCAGCAACTTACCGTACAGATTTGTGAAAAATTATATTAAATGAAATATATATCTTTAAACTAACACAAGAAATAGTAAAAATTTAATAAGGTCTAGTTCTCTTCCCCTTACAGGAACGTTTACCCATTCCTTTTGTCCTCACTTTAATTCTTGTTCATTTGCTAATAAGATCTTATCCTATTAATGTGAATATTTTATTAATCAAATAACTGAAAAATCAACTTTGAAATAAATTAGAAGTATATATAACACTAATGAATGTTTCATAAGAAAATGTAATATTCACCTTCTAACTGAAAAACACAAAAATAATTGTCAAGAAAATGTTCTTTCTATTTCAGACTCTTAATATTCCATGAAATATGTTTTCCTTAACACAAATCCATAGAGTAGAATATACAAATTACAGTCTGGTGAAGAATACCCAAAAGAGTACAATTACATTAACAGAAAGATATAGTCTGTCTTGTAATTTACCTAGAAAAAAAATCTCATTAGCTTTTAAATAATAGCAGTTTTCAAGACTTTGAAACAACACCCATGGATTTCTAAATATACTACTGCATCTGTGTTTCATTGAATCTGCTTTCCTCTAAAAATCAACAATAAAAAAAGAAGTTACTCTTGTACAGTGGGATGGCAATCAGAGTGTTGTTCTGACCTGGTCACACACTAAAATAAATCTTATATGAACCAACTAAAACTTCTAAATTGGAGGTACGTTTATTTATTTATTTAATTTTCTTTGGAGGTAACTTTATTTTTTTTTAAATACTTTTCTTCTTATTCTTTTTTATTTATTTATCTATTTATGATAGTCACAGAGAGAGAGAGAGAGAGGGGCTGAGACACAGGCAGAGGGAGAAGCAGGCTCCATGCACCGGGAGCCCGACGTGGGATTCGATCCCGGGTCTCCAGGATCGCGCCCTGGGCCAAAGGCAGGCGCCAAACCGCTGCGCCACCCAGGGATCCCTTTGGAGGTAACTTTAAATGAGAAATCAGGATACAGTAATTCAAGAATAAACCAAGAGTTAAAGGAAATACCTAAATTCCCGTGTAAATTATATGCTGAAATCTCTTATACAATTTGATTTAGGGAAACATGGGTGGCTCAGTGGTTGAGTATCTGCCTTTGGCTCAGGTAGTGATTCTGGGGTCCTGGGATCGGGACTTGATCCTGCATCGAGATTCCTGTGGGAAGCCTGCTTCTCCTTCTGCCTATGTCTCTGCCTCTCTCTGTCTCTCTGTGTCTCTCATGAATAAATAAACAAAATTATAGAAAAAAAAAGTTTTTGCTTTAATTACCAAGTTTATTCAGACACCGGTTCAAATTTGAAACTATACTTCTTAAATGAATAATTAATATATACTTTTTTTTTATTATTGAAGTTGTCTAGTCAAAACACTGTGGTGATTGTGTATGCCTAAGAGGGCTGTGTGGCACTTTGAATAATACTTATATTGTTAAATAAGTGAAATAACATAATGTCAAGTACCAAATTAGTGTTCTGGGTGACATGAATTATTGATAGAAGAAAAGTTTAAGAATTAGTGGACAAAAAAAATGATAGAGAAGTTCAGACTTTGGCCTTGAAGAATTAGGAGGAACAGAATAATTCTAAACAATAACCAGAAAATCCAATTATAAGGACATTTTATGAAGGTAGAAATAGACACATAATATCTGGGAAGCATAGAACCAACCAACTCCATTGCCATAGTAACTCTTAGTATAAAGATAACAGTGGGGAATGAAATTTTCTTGACTCTAAATCAATACTGGAAGTTGCCTGGGTGCATCTGGTAATATTAATATGGCCCGTAAGGAATTCATTTGCTTAAGTTTTGCTTCTTTGTTTGTTACTGAGCAAATATGGTACAGAAAGGTTGGAGAAAGACGAGATGACATTTTGTGTCAGATTCCTATTAATATAACAGGTATAGATAGCAAGTGAGGGGCCTCTTTCACAAGAGCATATGAAGCAATGTTCTGTCAACAAATGAGGGGGAAAGCAGGAACAAATTAGGAAAATTTTGGGTCCTAGTGACTCTTGTGTAGTACTATTAGTACTATATAGTACCTAGTATTATGTAAAATTGAAAGAATCTTCTGAGTTGGTTTCTTGTTGGAATTAGAATACACTTTATATATAAATATAATGACTTTGAAGTCATCTACAGACATCCAGTACAAAACATATGTAGTTTGAGGATGCAAGATTTATTGTTCATATTTATAAAAATTTAACCAAGTGTAAAATGATTCATATGTTCAGTCACTGTTATTTACTGCTTTGGAGATCCTTCCAGCTTCCAGTTACAATTATGGTTTTGAGATTGTTGTAATTGAGTTTAGTTTTATCTTAAGACATCTACTTATATCATCTCTTATACTTATGATGAGAAAGGTATCAATATCCCAGTTTTACAGACAAGAAAGGGTCAACTCAAAGAAGGTAGACAACTTCAAGGCCTGACTTGAGCTGGAGATTGCTGACTGCCTGGTGTTACAGTAACTGATTGATGGAACAAGCCAAAATGAAAGTAATATCCAAGCCTTTAGTCACTTAGTGTAAAAATATAAGCAAGAGGCTAAATTAGAGAAAGTGCCAAATATCCCACTGTTTCATTTTTCTCCGTGAAATGGCACCAGTCAAGGGTCAGATGGATCAGCACAGACATGGTGGATTGCTAGCCAAAATGAAAGTAATTGCCTCACGCCCAAAAATAAAAGCTGAACAAAAGGACCCTGCAGTTTCATGGACTCCAGTGGAGGAGGGGAAGGATGGGTAAAGGCTAGGCATAGCAAAGTACTAAACACTGGGTCCAGAGTAGAAAATTGTGTCTTCGAGTCCCTTCTCCACTCTTCACCCCATAAAGCGTTCTCAGCAGAGGTGCCTGTCACAGGTACTTCTGACGTAGGTTCTTGATGGAAGGTAACCAAAGGAGTTGCTGGGGCTGGTAATACAAGGGATCCTGGCCAAGGGATCCTGGATTCTTAACTACAACTTTCTATAGCGATGGCAGTGCATTGGCTGCACTCTGCGTCTGGTGTGGGAAAGGCAACTTTCTCTCACAAAGTCTGCCGGGCAAAACCTTTGTAACTGCCTGTGGTCAGACCTGAAAGATCACACATAGATTTTTTTGACCAGGAGCCAGACACCTCAATAATTTTTGCCAAACTTATACATTAGTTAGCTTGAAAAAGAATCCCATTTTCTTGTATTCAAGATTGCTCTCCTCATTAAGAGCATTTTTAGTAAGTTACCTATAAGTTTATTGACTTTTATATAACCTCATAATTTTACTATTCCTTGCTAATAAGAAATGTGTTTGGAAATGTTTGCTGCAACTTGGGATAGGAAACAGAGCGGGAGTAGAGATGTAGATGGTAGTCCCATAGGCCACTTGAAAAAATGGTGAAAAGAGGAAGAAAATCCTTGTATGAGACGTATGTTAGACAACCATAGCATTCTGATGCCTGGATGTACCCTAAATATTATGGATCTCCAGAAATAAAACAAAGCTAGATTTTACTAGTGATTCATTGATATCATGTCTTTCTACTTTGTCTAATACGTATCTATATATATGTTGCCTTAGCTCCCTCGCTATATCTTAAGGTCTTTGCTCACTTGGCAGTGCTTCTTAATTCATATTTTATAACCAAATAAAAACCAAAGTGTTATCTTCATAGGAAGCTCCCAATACATACTATTGAGTTGAATATGCTAAGCAGTCAGTAAGACATAGAGCTTTCTTCGTCATTGAGATCAGTGACTTTTTTTTTTTTTGGTACACCCAGGTAGCAAAATAACATGGTTGTCCCTTAGTAGTATGAATTTTGACATCCAAAATGAGTAAGTGACAAATTGTAATAAAGGGCTTAAGATTGGCACCGCCAACCTGATAGGAAGTTCAAAGGAATAAATTGCTAATTAGAAATGAAGGTTTCAGATTGAGATGCATTATAAAATTAAAACTTAAATTTCATTGGGATTTAATGTTACCCTTAATGGACTAAAGTGATTTTCAATGTCCTTTTTGGCATCTCTTTGCACATTAAAGGTAATATGGCTGTCATTCATCTTTGGTTAATCTGAGGAAGTAAAATGATTATACTTTGAAATTATGTTTTATATAGTAATTTTTCTTCAGGCATAACCTAAAAAAATGGAGCTGCCATTTGTGTGTTTCCTTTAAGCAGTTTTTATCATTGTGGTCATATTTCTGATTATAGTGTAACATTTCCACCTTAAGAAAACCTTTAGATTCATCAGGTCTCAGTGATATTTTAAGTACAACTATTTTTTTTTAAACAATTTCCCACAACTAAAATAGTCTCCATAACTCAAAACATAGAGATTATAGATTTTCAAATCCAGTCAGCAAAATAAAAATACGTTAGAAGAATTAACATTTTTGAGTGCCTATCCCCAGTGCTAACATGTTATATTAAATTGGTTCATTGGATCATGATATTCAAACTCAATAAGGAAAAGTGCTTCTCTCCCCCCATCCCATTTACGTATGAGAAGCTGAGACTAAGAGACTGATTTTACCAAAGTCATACAAAGAGAGCTAGAAGTAAAGCCAGAATTAAAAGCCAGGTTTGGTATTTGCTTGGCAGTACATAAAACTAAATTGGAATGATACAGAGAAGATTAGCATGGCCTTGGTGCAAGTATGACACACAATTACACAAAGCTTTTCATAAAAAAAAAAATAAAAAAAAAGCTAGATTTGTTGTCTCCAAAGTTATATTATTTTTGTCTGTATAAGACATATCTAATCTTCCTTGTATATTATATTTGAATTAAAAATGAATTATTTTGTTATATGTGGCCATCATAAAGCTATTCCAAAGTCTATATCTATATAATACCAGTATAAATTCAAAAATTTTATGATAATTTGTATTTCAGATGTGAAATTATATGTTTTAGTATCTATAGAATAGATGTGCTATTATTTTAGTCAATTCCATTTTAATGCTCCAAAAAAATTGATGTTATCATGTGGAACATTGTCTGATTATACACTATTTATGCCTTTAGTGGTGTAGTAATAGATACAAAAATGTGGTGAATTATGAAAAATTAATTCAATATAATTAACCATTAAGATTTCTGAGGGTCAATATTTTGCACAAAGGTGCCTGATAAAAACACACTTCCTAAAATTCTGAAATACTGCTATTAAAAACTGGTAAATATGGAAAAAAGGTCAATTTATTAAGACTAAAATTTGCATGTGATTAAAGATAACTTTTTGAAGGCTATCATTTCCATATGATGGATATTTCATTCTGCTTTCTCATTAATGAAAAATACTGCATGCTATTGACAGTCATAGCAGAGTTAGGATTGGTGTTTCCCCACTGGACTCCAAATGCAACAACTTTCATGTTGTTTACCATAACACCTGTTTCTCTGCTTTTTCCAATCTAGACTGCAACAGGTGTCTGCATAGGATTGCAACTGAATTTTGTAGACAGTATATATGGCAGAGAGGGTGGGGGGATGGGAGGACAGGTGCCTAGGTTAAGGAGTGTACTTGTGATGAGCACTGGGTGTTGTACGAAAGTGTTGAATCACTGTATTGTACATTTGAAACTAATAATACACTGCGTTAACTAACTGGAATGTAAATAACAATGTGGAAAAAATAAAAATAAGTATTTTTTTTAAAAAAAAAGGAAAGAAAAAAGGAAAAAAAAAACCCTAATGGATACTCACTGCTATAAATCTGTAGTTCTGTTCATAATAAAAAGCAATTTTTAATAAACATCTCTATATAAGAATGATAAAACTACATTATAAAACCATCAAATTAGGGATCCCTGGGTGGCGCAGCGGTTTGGCGCCTGCCTTTGGCCCAGGGCGCGATCCTGGAGACCCGGGATCGAATCCCACATCGGGCTCCCGGTGCATGGAGCCTGCTTCTCCCTCTGCCTGTGTCTCTGCCTCTCTCTCTTTCTCTCTCTGTGACTATCATAAATAAATAAAAATAAAAAATAAAATAAATAAAATAAAACCATCAAATTGGAAGTGCACATAAGGTTATATGCTCTCTAAATGATTATATATATATATATATATATTCTCTAAATGATTATATAGAAGATATCCTGAATTTTGCGGTGCCTGGCTGGCTCAGTGGTTGAGCATCTGCCTTTGGCTCAGGTCCTGGGATCGAGTCCCTCATCTGGCTCCTTGCCTGAGCCTGCTTCTCCCCGTGCCTATGCCTCTGCCTGTCTCTGTCTCTCATGAATAAATAAATAAATAAAATATTTTTTTAAAAAAAAGATATCCTGAATTTCAATCTTGCAAACAAATTGCATTGCTATAGCTATGTAAATATATACATGATGAGAAAAATTAAAATATCAAAATAAAAGCGCTTATCTCTGGAATTCAGAATTGGAAGTCATTTAGGCTTTAAAAACTTAGCATGAAGTCCTATTAATGTAAAAAAGTGGAGAGGATCAAATTTAGTGCAGTCAATTATGGAGTGGAGGTCTGCACTTCAATTTGGCAGACAGGGAAAATTCAAATATGGATAGAGTTAATGCTGTTGTTCTTTAGTAATTGCTTCAAATGCATTTTCTTAATTAGTAATAACTATCGTATCTCTTATGAAGAAGCATTTATCTTCCCCACTGTCTGTCTCATGTACAATAGTATGTAACCAGTATTGGAAAATTTCACTTTTATACATCCCTCCCTGTAATCTTTCTCATCACTTAAAAATTTCTCTTGCAAGTGTAATTGCCTAAGAGCTTATGTGAATTTAATTAAAGAGAAATAATAAATTTGCCATGTATAAGCAAGTCCTTGAGAGTTTTACCATGTCAAATATCTCAAATACATTAAATTAAAGCTCCCCAATCAAAGGGTGCAAGATATTCTGCATAAATCTGCTTTTAGAGGTCCCACTTAATGAAGAAAAACAATAGCCTTTTCTAACAGAAATAAAGAGATATTTATAATTGACCTGAAATATCATATCATGCCAGGAATCAATCGTTTGGGATATAAGATACAATACCCTGATTTTGTCATTTTTCTTTTTAAAAAAATATTTTTTTCTGTTGTAAACCATGTCACACATACACAAAGAAATGTCCTACTAATAACTGAACCTAAAACTAACTTAAACTATAATCAAAAATTACATGGATCAGTTGGTTAAGTGTCCAACTCTTGGTTTCAGCTCGGTCGTTCCTTGGACTTCTAGCTCAGCAAGGAGTTGGCATCAAAGATTCTCTCTCTGCCCCATCCCCAGCTCATGTTCTTTCTCTCTCTAAAAATAAATACATAAATCTTAAAATAAATTACCCCGGAAGTGGTTTTATTGATAACATAACACTTCACTGTAATATTCTGATAAACAGCAGCTCCATTTAACCAATATAAAAACTGCAAATCATCTTGATCATCATAATATATTTTATAAAGAGTCCAGATACAGTATTTCAGATTTAATTTTTTTTTAAATACGTGATCATTTGGTGGTCATTTATTTAATTCCACCAGAATGTTGAAATAAAAATGGAGGGATTGGTATGAGTGTATGTTGGTAAATAGTGATAATTTAAAAAATTAAAAAACAAAATAAAAATTCACCTTCTAGTCATGCTTTTGTCATTTTTGTTAGTGAACCTGAGAATGAGATAACAATGGTCTTCATTAATATAATTTCTAATTGTACTCTATATCTTTTAAAATAAAACATGGGCCAAGAAGTTGAGACTACTCCTATAGTCTAAGTTACATTCCAGATGTAACATAAAGTACAGCTGTGTGTGTATTTGTGTGTATTTACGTATAATTTTAATCTCCACCACCCATTGGGATGCTTGTATTTCTGTTAGCATATCAGGAAACTCTAGAAACAAAGCTAGAAATGGAACTGAGGCTTTCTGCCTCAAAAATCTATTCGTAAGTTTAAGAAAGCTATCTGTAAGTGTTGCTTTAAGCAATATTTCACATAACTGTCTGAGTTACATGTATTTTCACCTGACTCTATTGAAACTTCATAATTTGATCTTAACACCAGTGAATACTGGGATGGCTCTTTCTTTCCAATTCTGCTTATATTTCTTTTCCTTGACTTATTGCACCTTTTAGAAACTCCAGTACAATGTTGAATGAAAACGATGATAATAGGAATGTTTCTCTTCTTAACAAATCTCAAAAGGTAGCTTTAAGGGTCGACTCTTAAATGTGATATTTACTGTAGGTATTCTGAATACCTGTTAGCACATCAATTTTATTTTAAGTGTTCTGAAAATGTTATCATTGATGATTCTTCTATATCAAATGTGTTATTTTTCAGCAGTTATTGGGATTGTCTTATGAATTTTCTCTTTTAATCTTTCACTGTAATTTGATTTGTATAATATGCACCAACCTTGGTTTCCTGGATAAAGCAAATTGGCATGACTTATTGTCGTGACCAAGGTATCCCTTAACAGATTGAGGAAGTTATCTTCCAGTATTCAGAGGATTTTATCATTAATGAGAGCTAAAAAATGTCCAGTTTTTTCTTCATCCATTAAGATGATAATACTATTCTGATAATGTAGTAGAATATGCTGTTTAGTAAGGTTTACACTAGCTGTTCATTCTTGGAATAACTTTACTTGGTCATACTGTAGTATCTTTTATATATTATCATTTACTTCTTTCAAGTACTAAAATTTTAATAAATGCTTTTATGCCTATATTTATTTTTTTAAGATTTTATTTATTTATTCATGAGAGACACAGGCAGAGGGAAAAGTAGGCTCCATGCAGGAAGCCCTATGTGGGACTCGATCTGGATCTGGGATCATGCCCTGAGCAAAGGCAGATGCTCAACCGCTGAGCCACTGAGGCGTCCCACATTTTAAAATCTTATATTTTAATTATCATTTAGCTTGAAATATTTTCTAACTTGTGTTTTCTGTGATCTAAAATATATAGTATATACTTGTATATTATATACAATTTAAGTTATATAAATTTATATTTGTATATATAATATGTATAAAATATTATATATCATATTTTGTGTACTATATAAATTACTTATGTGTTTATTTTCATCCTAAGGAAACCCTTTTAGCATATTTTTATATAGTAAATCAGCTGGCAATTAATTTTCTATTTTGTGTTTCTGAATGTCTCTACTTAATCATCCATAAAGATTATTTTTACTGGATATATAGTTCTGTGCTCACAATTTTATTTTCATTTCCTTTCATAATATGAAGAGGCCAGTCTATTATTTTTTGGCCTCTTTTTCTTTTTTTCATGTTCTTTCTAATGAGAATGAAGTGGTCAATCCCATTACTGTTTAATATATGTAGTGTGTCACTTCCCCTGCCCCTCTTCCCTGCTTTAAACATTTTCTCTTTATCTTTTAATTTCACAACTTGACTATAATGTGCCTAGGTACCATTATAATTTACTTTGCATTTATCAAGTTTCAGTTTGTTTAGTTTCATGGAATCATAAGTTGATATTGTCTTCCATATTTGGGGCCAATAAATATTTTTTCTATTCCTATTTCCTCACTTCTATCCCTTGGTATTAAAATTGCACATATTTTAACATTGATATTTTTTTCATGGGTCTCTAGCACCCTGTTAATTTTTCTTTGATGCCTTTTCTCTCTTTATTTTTCAAAGAGCTTAATTTCTATTTAATTACATTCAAGTTTTCTGACACTTCCTTAGGCATTATTGATCTGATGTTGAGTCCATTCAGTGATGGTTAATTATGTAATTTTATTTGTTGACTTTTCAGCTCTAGTTTTTTGATTTGGAGTTTTTATTTTACATATATATTTATGATTATATATATTTACATATATATGATTTATTTGAAATTATTTCTCTTGTCATTCCTTATTTTCCTTTGGATGTTTGTTCTTATTTATAATATCCTATGTAAAGTCCTTATTTACTTATTGCTTGAGTTTGGTTATCTTCTTCTATTTGCCTGTCTGATTAACCTTTAGTTGGAGAGTGAACAATAAGAACAATATGTTATAGACTCTCTGGGTTCTTTTTTTGTCTTCTGAAGAGGGCTTTTTTTTTTTTTTTCTCCCTCCTAATAGGCAAATTACTGAATGGACTCAAATTCCAAACTCTGACTTAGGCAGTAGTAAAAAGTTCTACTCAGTTTTCCCTATGCAAGCATAGTTCAAAATGCAAGATATTAAAGGGATTTAGATACGGGAAGAAATACTTGGTTTGAGAATGCAACTGAAGTATTGGAAACAGAGGATTTAAGAAAAAATAAATATTGTAGCACTCCAAGAAAATATATAAAGTCAAAACCAAGGCAGTAATAGAGTAGAAAGTGTTGCGTTTTGTTTTGTTTTTAATTTTGCCTACCCAGCATTCCTTTATCTTCTTAGATAACTACCTCACCATGTCTCTGTGTCCTTGCATTTGGAAGAAATTGACCTAATCCTTAGTTCCAGATGGGGTACACATAACTCAGTCTAATCATCAAAATATGCAGTCAACATCATTTCCAGATTTTGGATGAACTGACTGATTTGTTGAGCTCTTTCCACTCCACTTAGATTTATAAACCCGGGATCACATCCTGAGAAATTATGTTATGGGAGCTATCATGTTGATAGAGTCAGCCTAAAAATGAAAATACCATATTAAAAACCAGAACAGAGGTACAGAAACAACAAAATGCCAGATCTTGATGACATCCATTGATATCCAGAATCCATTTGTACCCAAAGCTAGAATTTCCAGGTGTTAACCTTGATATCAACAGAATATCTGAGAAAATAGAGGAACAATAATGCAATGAAAATGCCTGAACAACATTGTGATCAAAACAATTAAAAAATAAAGTAGAAATTGTCCCTGGTTAGATCTACACATTTTCTTAACTGGCGGTTGACTATGACTACAAGTAGTAGAAAACTCAAAAACCAGTGCCTTAAATAAATAAGGATGTGTTTGCCTTTCATAATAGATGTCAAGATTAAGCAGGCTGGAGTTGGAATGATTGATCAGCTATGGCTTCAGGAACCAGGCTTCTTCATCTCTCATTCTGTGCCTTCCTTTTTTTTTTTTTTTTTCTTTTCTTTCTTTCTTTTTTTTTTTCTGTGCCTTCCTTTGTGATGGCTGTTGTACATTAGACATCATGTAGGCATTTTAGGCCAATAAACAAAGAGAGTGGAGGAGGAAGTGCTAACAAACGTCCTAATCTCTCACTTTGATAACTGAATCTTTGGGCTAATTTTAAACTTTTGCTTCTAGATCAGATAATGTCATGATAGAAAGGGCTTGAACCTTGCATAAGCCAATAAATTAGGCCTTTTTAGCATTCTGGAGATGAAGGAGGACATTTTAGAAAAAGAATGGCAAAAAGAAATCTGAGATAATATGGTTAAGAAAACTATTTCCTTTGTGGAAATGAAGGAGAGGTTTTTTTGTTTATTTGTTTTTCCCTAAGAGAGGTAAAAAGGCAAAAATATATGGAGTGGGTCTTAAAATTTGTTAGATATTAAAAGCCATCTCTGGGAGATTTTAACTGTGAAGTACTTTCTCCCTGGGCTGGGGATAAAGTAATCTATATTTTTAAACAAGCACGCATTGAGATTCTGATATAAGTGATATGCAGATTGCATTTAAAAAGCAGGAATGTATTTTAAATAAGAAAGGAGAGAAGATACAAGAGCACATGCATTTTCTCTATAAATTGGTTAAAACGTTTCTGTGCCTATCATGATAGTTTCATGAGTGAAGCTTGAGACTTTAGAAAAATCTTTAAAAAATTGTGAACACTGTTAGGAAATTCACAAGATGAATATAGCTATGGTTAGATTGGTAGTGGCTCGAACCATTCTGGCCCCAGTTTATTTAGCCACATACTGCAGTCTAGTGTCAAATTCCCTAACAACAAAAATCAAAATAATTTAGTCTAAGAGTATTGTCCAACTATAATCATGCAAACTTGATTTCTTAAATATCAGATGACCTATCTTAAAGAAATATAAAACAAATAAGATGATTATAGCTTTTAAACTTAGACTTGTTTATGCATCCTCCTAATGTATACTTTGCCCTGCAAACTACATAAATTTTAAACAGTAATGAATATGTAGAGTGTTCCCTTCTGCAGCACATATACTAAAAGTGGAGTGATAGAGAAGATTAGCATGGCCCCTGTGTAAAGATGATGTAATGAATATGTAGAGAGCTCAATGTGGACTTCACAAATACAACCTTGGGAATTATCCCTTGAAGAATAGATTTAAAAATTGAAAGAAGCAAATTGTAGAAATATTCAGAAATGCCAATCCACATTTATAATATTTATAAAATAATAAGTGAAAAGGAAAATATTGCTTTGGTAGAGTAGCATTTGTTCTTTAAAATTTTAAGATTTTATTAGAGAGAGAGAAAGAGAGAGCAGGGGAAGGGGCAGAGAAGGGGAAAATCTCAAGCAGATTCTACACTGACACAGGGCTCAGTCTCATGACCATAAGATCAGGACTTGAGATGAAATCAGAGATCAATTGCCCAACTGACTGAGCCTTCCAGGTACCCTTAGCATTTCTTCTTCATCATAGTTTGAGTACTGAGCTAAGGCAGTGTAGGCCATGTGAAGTCCTTTTCTGCCCTTAACTAAATATGTGAAACAAGGCTGAGATTTGGAGCCTCTTTCTTCATTGTCAAACGAGGATGATAAACTTTCACACATGAGGTTAGGTTGGTAAAATGTTTGGAATAGTTCTCTCCACATTTTCTAACAATACAGTAATAAAATCTGAAGATACAATTAGAAAAAAAAAAGAAAGAAAGAAAAAGAAAGAAAAGAAAAGAAAAGAAAAAAGAAAAACAGAAAAGAAAGAGAGGGAATTTGTTGTCTTTTAAAAGTCAGATTACCAGAAGGAGGAGAATATGATTGCTGAGTAGCAGATAGAAACCAAACAATTTTAAAAGATGGCTTAATAAAAATAATTTTTACCAAAGGAAAGCTAAGTGTGCTACATTTTAAAAAATATATTGCCTGATAGCTCAGTAAAAACTTTATATACACACAATTATGAAAAAAATGATGATTCTGAAAATAAACTGATAGTTTAAATATAGCAGCACTGAAGAATGGGGAATATTTATACCTTTTAGTTATAATGGTTATTTGATCTAATGAGAGTAAATAAATCCCATTGTCACTTATTTTACTATTCCTTACTGTGCTACATGAATTGATCTGCTTACAATGAAAAAATTAATAATGTATTTGTGAGATAACAAAAGTATTGCATAACTCTTTAAATATTTTTCATCTTTAAAGATTTTTATATTTAAAGTGGTAAAAAAAATCAGAATCTTTTTACCGTAGATATAATTACATTTTTTTTTTGTATATAGCTTATATGCATATGGACTCTTAATTATTCAGGATGCTTCTCTTTTATTTATTTTACTTGATCAATTCATCTTTGTTGACTGATTACAGTTTCTATTATCTCAATGAATTTCTCTAATTGAGGTTCAGTAAGAGATAATAATGGACATCTGATTGCAATCCTACATTTCAGTTGAAGTTCTCTTTTATTGCCATAGTTTTGAGATTGTCAACCATGAGATGCTGATAACTTTGTAGTGATTATGAATATTTAGTTCCTGAGAATAAACTCATTTTAAATATAATGTATTGTATAAAGGATGGAATATAGGAATGATTTGCTACCAGAGTATAGGTAAAAGGTTTATTAATGAGAATAGATTGTTGGAGTATAATTATAAAGACAATGATTGTGACAATTTTTGCATTTACCAGAAACTTCACGTGCATGCATCATGCAACATGATATTTTTATTTTTATTAATCAGTGAAGCCAGTTAACTTGTGGAATGAAACTCAAGGGTAGAGAATGGAATCCAAGTCCTTTCCAAGGTTCTGATTTCAAAATTCTTGCTCTTGTCACTCTGTCAAATTACTTCTTTGCTTCAGCTTTAATGAATGCCTATTTCGTGGTGGATAGTATACTAGAAGATTTACTGACCAAACTTTATTTGATCCAATAAATTCAGTTTTACCAACCTTAGTTTATAGATAAGGAAACAGAGATTCAAGAAGCCCAACTTTCTCAGGATCACATAATTGTTAAACATCAGATCATTTCATTCATTCTAGAACGAGACTGGGAAGTTTTTCAGAATCCATACAGAATAATTAAGATTTAATATTGATACTAATTTTATTAATTTGATTTTTATAATTCTAAGGTAAGATAATTGTCAAATAAGAATGTCAAATATTACAGAAGAGATTAGGTTTATCTGTTATTAAAACCACGTTGTGAAGTTCCCAGTTTATGGAGTTCAAATAAATTACAAGCAAGAGTATTTTAAATAACAATTATTGAGTATACGCCCATACCATTTATTTTTTTTTATTTAAGCACTAAGGTATTTTGTTTCTTTAAATATAAAAAGAATTTGAGAATGTAATATAATATACAAGGGTTAAATAATAAAATAAACATAAAAGTGATTTGATTAATTAGTCAATGATATAAGAAATATAAATGAGCTACATTGAGTTCATGTTTTGCATATTTTATGTTTGTTAGAATTCAAAGCCTTCACAGAAAATTAATATTTTAAACATGACCTTCAGACTTAATTGTATTTTCTGCATTCTCTATACTTATATTGTTAGTTCACTGACCAGATATGCTCCAGAAAAGCTACATGTGAAACAAAATTTGCAATTTATAATTTAAAAGATGCTGAGGGGATGTGTTCTTTAAAGGAAGCCTCAGATGAATAGTTTTGAAATGTAAATAAAACGTTTTGCCTATGGATCTACCTATATGTTTTCTTAAACTGGATACTATTTGAAGAAGTTGTCAGGGATTTTGTCTTCTAGTCTCCTTGTTTTCCACTCTGCTCTCTAGTCCTCCTACACCTGGATCTTCTTTTTCTATCATCAGCATCTAGTGAGCACTTATATGTTAGGCTGCCATGTTAAGTGTTGGGGCCATTACACCAGATGCTGCATTAGTGAATCATCACCTATCACTTTTGGTTTCCAAGAAATTCTGTGATTATATTTTGAGTTGATATAGTTTCCCTCAGGCTTGATTAAACAATTTGTTAGTACCTTAATTAACTCCAAGCTTGTTTAAAATTCAGTACTCAGTCTTCAGGTATAATTGTTAAACTATTTAAAATTATAATAACAAAACACCAGTAATAACTATTTATGTTACAGCTGCGGTATTGCAGACATACTTGTAAGTATATTTTATAAATGGAATCTTTCAATCTTACAACATGATGGTTATAGTAATATTCCCATTTTGTAGATGATGATTCTGAGACAAGAAGAGGTATGTGACTAGCCTTCATCACATAATTCTTTCTTTTATTATAGATTTTGCTTCACCACCTTTCCATACAGCCCACAGTCCCCAAACACTGTTAACCAGCTTCTCAGTTCACAAGCAGGAGTTTGCTCTGAAGTTTTATAGCATAATATGCCCTCATTGAAGTAATGCCCTAAAAAGATACTTTGTCTTCCCTACTTCCAATCTCCAAGTGAACTAGATGACCTTTTATCTTTGTTAAAAGAATCTAGAAGATCATATCACAGGTTTCTGTTAATATGCCACTGGGCGCTAATGAACATCACAACGGTAGAGCACCATAGTGTGGAGTTCACGCGTCAAATTCATTCATCCTCATCATACACTAGTTCTGGTGAAGAGCAAGATAGGGAAATCTGACTTTTCTAGCCCGATAAAATGCCACCGATTTTAATTTACTTTATATTAAACTCTTGTTCTTTTATCACTTTGCTTTTGAACTATGTACTATTTATGGTCCTGAAAGCAGTAGGTATAAAATATTTTCTTTTAAACATATGGATACAGGTTTTCAACTTATTAAGTTGAAGTCACTTGTATTTATAAATTATTTTATTGCTTTTCCTTTATTCTACAGTAACAATAAATCTGTACTTTGTTTTTTGATTATTGTATTTATTTTCTTCTCATGTTTGGCAATTAAGTGAAGTTCTGCATTAGAAATTGTTGATTGTTGAAGGCACATGATGTGAGGAATCTCTCCTCTCTCTTGGCTTCCCACACATTGCTGGTTTTAGTTTTCACTTTTGACTGATCCTCAGTCTTCTTGTTTGCCAACCCGTCCTCCACTAACAACCTCTAGACTGTGGCAATGCCAGCTTTAATCCCCTTCTCTTGTCTCCAGATGAGCTCAGCCAGCCTGAAGTAACTGCTGTGACAGTGACAAAATCAACTCTAGTGACTCTGGCCTTTGAGGCTTTGAGTTTCAGCATCTCTCTCTGGTCTGTTCTTTCTGGCCCTTCCCATGGCTGGTTCCTTTTCCAGTTTATAGTTTTGTTAGTAAGAGACGCTTTCGTAGAGAGGCCTTGCAGGACCATTCCATCCAAAGTAAACTTTCCAGCCTAATTTTTCCCTATAATTTTGCTCTAAGATATTAGCACTTTCGTGTGTTTACTGTTTGATTCTCCTCACTGCAATTACGCTTCTTGATAGTAGGTAGTTTTTTTTGGTTAATGGTTCATTTTTTTATACACAGGACCTTGAATACTGTATATTCCCTAGTAGGTGTTTCACAAATATTTACAATGGATAGAAAAATTCATTTATAAATAAAAATGTATATAACATAATGCTAATCCAAAGCTAATTAGTGGTAGAGGCTGTAGTTACTATAACAGTGTATGTAAGTTATAAATAACTTATAACTATTTGTTATAAATAACTATTTGCTAAATAAACACATAAAGGTTAAAGAAGTTATTAAAGGAATAGAAATTATAAATAACTATTTGTTAAATAAACAAATAAAAGGTTAAAGAAGTTATTTAAAGAAATAGAAATTGACCCCTGCTCCTGGTGGAGAGCCTGTATCTACCTACCCTCCAAGCTCCACGGGTGTCAGTTGAGGCCTCTGTTCTAATCACATCACCATTCATCCTTTCCACCTCCCCACTACTATTTCCTTCACACTGTCACAGGTATTGCTCCTGAGAACATTCCCAAAGAAGCTTCAGAGTATATTCCTGGGGAAATCTGATCTAAGACCATTGCTTTTTAAAAAGATAGGATCCCTGGGGCACCTGGATGGAAGGCTCATTTGGTTGAGCACCTGCCCCTTAGTTTTGGCTCAGGTGATGATCTCATGGGTTGTGAGATGGAGCCCAGCATC